GCGAGCCACTGTTTGCAGGATGACCAAAGCCACATCCAGGACGTGCACTTCAACACTTTGCTCTGTTGCAACGTCCTGCTCAAAAAAGGAGATGCTACAAGTGGGGCACACAAAGGTGAAAAATCCTCTAAGAGGAGTAGAATGGTTTCTCTTCTGCCCTTTTCTTGTCACTAGAAATCATCATCTTAATGGAAACGCTTGTTTTACCCTCTCCGCTAGATGCACCTGTAGGTCTGTGGCACTTCTGCCACCCCTGTGACATCCAGCTGTGATCTTCTCCGCATTCCCACCTTCTCCTGCCTTTCTCCAGACCCAGGGCGTCGTTTCTTTGGGTTTCCAACAGTTGCAGCAGGGAAGGGTTTGGCCAAGCCAAACAGGTGAGTTGGGACAACAGGGAATGTGGTGTTCATTGCGCTGCCTGGGGTGCTGAATTGAGGTTTGCTTGCAGCATTCTGCACTAAATAGCCTGGACAGATGGAGGTCTCTAGGCATGGGCGAGTTGTCCTTTTTTTCCCTTTCCTCGTAAGATGTAAATGGGTATGTGGCTTTATTACAGCACGCACGAGATGCCTATGAAGTATTGAATAATAAATCCAGTAAATAGCCAGGAGCAATGGCTAGGTAGGCCTTTTGCTATGGTAATAACTCAGCTTCGGGGCCCGGTGATGCATCCTCCTGCGACTCCCCTCCGTGTGGTTTGCAAACAGGCTCCAAATGATGCTCAAACCCTTCTAGTGGTTTAATTCACACCCTCAGCAGCCCTGCCTGCTCACAGCGCTCCCCACATGCGAGCCTGGTCTCCTTCATTATTTATCAGTTCCCGAGTGTTTAAAGTGTAAATTAGGCTCCTTTCTCCAACCCAGGAAGCAATAAGCCCTGATGTTAATTTGCTTGAGTAATGGCTGAAGGAACTGCAAAACAAACAAGATTTACAAAAATCAGTTTTTAATACAGAGTCACCCTCCAACACGCTCTGCAGCATGCCCGGGAAGTCCAAAACATTACCCAAACGTGCCGTTTTCCCCAAGAAACGTGACGAGCGGAGGGCTGCCGTGGGCTGCGCGCGGACGCGTTCATCGGGAGTGAGCAGTTTGCAGCGGGGTTTCCCCGGGCAGGGACACGGCCCTGCGCCCCGTCCCCCTTCCCCCAGCTCGGACGTCGTTTCCCTGCCTCCCCTTCGTGAGCTGGGGGATTCACTGCTTTGAGCACTGGCTGCCCTGGGGGCAAGACCGCATGGAGCAGCAGCTGGGCCGTTGGGCGGAAGGTTCCGGGGCAGCGCTCTGGTCCCGGGGGATTTTTGAGCTAGGATCAGGGACGCGGCTTCGGTGAGGCAGCAGCTGGCTCCTGGAAACCGCCAAGTGTCTCTTTGGAGGTGAATTTTCCACCCAAAACCATCATCCAGCTGGAACCTGTGCTTAGACCCACAGATACCGGGGCTTGCCAAACACATGGCACAGAGTCAGGACTCCATCGTGCCCTAGGATATATGTGAACTTTGTTGCTGTATTTTTTTCCTTTTTGCTGAAATGCCTCTCCAGGCTTTCTGCATTGAGTAATATTTTTATTAAGTTTTATTTCATATGCAAAGGCATTGCAGCCGCGCGGCGCTCTCCAGTTTGGCACAGGGGGCAGTGGTGGAGGTCCATGTCACATCTTAAAACCTAGATCACCTTCAGGACTCGCTGTTGCAGGGACTCTGGGGACATGAGACAAGCAGCAAAGCGTTGCAGGAATAGCCTGAAGACTATTTATCCCGCTGCTGTCTGCAGTATGTACGTTTTTATTATTTCTTTACCACCTAGTAAGAAGAATAATGTGGGTTTTTTGTTGTTTTTTTAAAAGTCCCAGACATTTCATTTTGTGTGCTTCCCCTTCCTCCCCTTCTTTTTTCCTTCTGTAATGATAGCTGTTCTGTTGTTTTCTGTTTAGCATCTGATCTAGGGATGTTCAGGATTGCAGTCAGAATTTACTGCTGCAAAAAGGTTTTCATTCTCTGTTGCCTTCGATTTTATTGCCATTTAATCCATGCTATACTGTAGACACCTTCAAATTGAGGAAAACCAGCATGTGATCCAGGTTTAGCTGTGAAAACTCCACCGAATAGCAAAGCAAGGGGCTGACATTTCCATGATTCATCTAACACCGCGCTGACCTTCTGCTCATGGCCCAGAGTAACAGTGTTACGTGTCCCTTCCGTTGGGTTTTGTGGAAACTCTCCGTCTCTGAATCCAGGATACCTCAAGGTGCCTCTTTCAGGTGGATATCAAGGCTGGCTTTCCCAGGTAAATTGATGCAGGCTGAACAAGCCCAAACTGGTGCTACATTGAAGGAGACATCACGGTTGCTTAACACAAAATCCCTGACATTTTACTGAGAATTTATGGACTTGATTAATATGCCAAAATGAAAAATGTTGTGTGTGACAATATTTTTTTGCTTATATTTAGCCTTTCAATACGTGCTGCAGCTGAGAGAGCTGCTAATGAAGTCTGGCAGGATCACATTAACTCTGGCTGATTTTGGGTTGCAGCTCTGTCTTGGCTAGGGATATTTCTGCCTTAGCCCACGTTTTGGGAACATGGTGCCTTTTGGGTACGGTGTTGAGCCGTGGTCTGTCCTGCAGCCTCCGATGCCGGAGATGAGGAGCTTGGACGTGCTCTGCAGCCTCGAGCCTTTGCAGCCTGCCCTGCTTCATGCTTGGTTCCTGCTCGCCTCAAGCAGAAGGAATGGGATGCTAATTCCTCCGTTTGAAACAGCCCTGCTGTATACAAGCGCCTTGTCTTTTTTGTTCAGTAACTCCGAATTTGGGAAACTGATGCTAGTGCCTTTTCCCTGCTAAAAACGGGAGGGCTGCAGCTTTCCTCTCGTTCATCCGATTCACATGCCGGTGCCGAGGTGATTCCCAGAGCAGCCAGAATTCCCTGGCTCCCTAAGAGAGGGCTACGCTGAAAGCTGGATCTAAAATAATCCAAAGAGGGATCTAAATCATTTAAGGGGCGACTCGCCTCCGCGCGGCCGAGCCCCGGCCCTCCCCACGCGTTTGCCCTTTGCTGTTACCTCAAGCCTCGGGAAGACCTTTCCGCTCTTGGCGCTCTCGGGGACTAGCGTCACGGAACGCGCGCCGGCTGCAGCGTGGGCAGCGGCGCCACTTTCCAGACGCGGTTTTCGCTCGCCCGTTTCTAGCTGCGCGTTGAGTAGTTCCCCCCCAGCCCCAACAGCGCTGACTCAATGTGTGCTGTTACGTGCAGAAAGTTAGTATCTCACCTGGAAATACTGATCTTTCTATTCGTTTAATATATATGCCCTTATTATGTGTTTTTGTTGGTTTTTAATTACCAACCTTCTTGGCTTTCGTTCCTTGAGGCTGTCCTTCCAGCTAGCGTAGTCTGGACTAATCCTTGGAGAATTCAACATCTTGCCACGTGGCACTTCAGTCGTCATTAGACTTCAGTGAAGGTGGGTGAGCAGCCAGATTTTGGCTCCGAACAAGGTGAAACTCTTCTAAAAACGGCTCCACTTCTACTGATATCAACTCTTACCTTCATTTTTTCTTTATTTTTTGACTCCATTTTGACTTTATTTTTTGAAGGGTGGCCTTTTCCAGGGGTTTCGTTGGTGCTGGGGCACAACTAGGATTTGTTAGATTGACTGCAGGAGTTGGGAGCAGGGGGATGCGCCTGTTCCTAAAGATGGACAAGAGGAATCCAGGCTTACATTTTCATCCTTTAAAGAACATAGCATAAACTTGCTCTCCTGACATTACTTTATAGTTTGCAGAAGGCAAAGAGAAGCAGCAACTTGTTGCCGCGGGTCAGCTGTGGGCAATGGCCAGAAACCCTCCTTCCCTCTGCAAGGGTGAAATAGGCTTTTACTTCTACACTTTTTCTTTTTCATTAACCGTATGGGAGACTCAATCAGATTAGCAGTATGTGACTAAAATCCATGTACAAATACTTGACCTTCCAAAATGCTTATAGGAGAAGGTATGCAGTAAGGGGAAGGACTTCAGGTGGAGGATTTCTCTTTTGTGCAGCAGAAATTGCAGAAACGAGTCATCAAGATGAGCGCGTGTTGCTGTGATGTGTTTGCCTGGTTCCTCTAGTGTTGCTGCGTGCGTTGGGTGTCTCTGGGGGTGCTGTGGTGCCTCAAGGTCCACGTGTTTGACTTCTCTACAAACCCGTGGCCTGTTTTCACTATACAATTACTATTTCTTCCAACTTAATTTCCCCAAGAGAGGGGTAAATGCTTTCTATATGCTGTGACTAATGAGGCATCCAGAGCTGCCCCTCGAGGGCCTCTGTATCTGTACAGAGTCACTGTGCTCCCAAAGCAAAGGTGGGGTGAAATTCTTCTCTTGGCTTTCAATAAATTAGTTGGGCCCCTTCACGCAGGAGGTCATATGAGGAGTGTTTTTCAGTGCCTTGCATGTTGTACAGCTAGTGGGAGGCCCAGGTTTGTCTTTATAGTTGCTGAGGAGCTTAAGCGTAGTCTTGGTTTAACGCTTCCAGTGGAAAGCCAGCTGGGTAGGGTTCATTTGTCAGAAAAATGGTGTCTTTCTAAAAAGTGTTCACTAGTACTGGCTCTTTCCTTGCTGGAGAGATTTATGCAGCCCTTTCTTTTTTTCCTCGCCTTGATGTGTCACTCTTTGTATGGAAAATTTATTTCAGTTTTGGCTCTTGGTTCAGCGCTTGCCTTTCTTGAAGGCACCATTGGGTGTTGCTTACTATGTGGAGAAAAAATCATGATGTAAATGGATATTATATATGATGGGCATCATCTTCTATGTCACAACTGTTGTATAATGTAAGTGCTTCCTTGCTCTGGTGCTGGTGGACGTAGCTGTGGTGTCAGAGGTAGTTCTCTTGTTCAGCCTTCTTAGAAGTGATTTGCACATAAAATGCCCGAAACCCGAGTTGGGTTTTTGATATCAACCTTCGTATCACAGGGCACAGAAAAGCATACAGCTCTGTGAACGTCTGCGCTTTGTGTTTCCTCGGCAGGCACGATCCTGGTTGACAACATGCTGATCAAGGGGACGGCGGGAGGCCCTGACCCCACCATCGAGCTCTCCTTGAAGGACAACGTGGATTACTGGGTGATCCTCGACCCCATCAGCCAGAGGCTCTATCTAAACAGCACTGGCCGAGTTCTGGACAGAGATGTAAGTCTGGGGCTTTCCTCCTCCGTAGGTTCTTTTTCCCGCCTCTGGGTGCGCTCACAAACACGGGGATCGCTGGGAGGCGGGAGCTGCCGCCGTTGCTCATCCCAGCGGCCGCGAACGGAGCTGACTTGATCCCTCTTTTGGGATCAAGCTTTCTTGGGAGCCTGCAATAAGCAGCGTAGAGAAGAGTGCCTTGCGGGCCGGGAGGCCTCCTCAGAGTGCTGGGAAGTTTGTATCGGCTCGAGATGGATGAGTTTGTCTTCTTGGTGTGCTTTGAGACGCGCTCATTAGCAGCGAGTGCCCCATTTCCGTGTGCCAGTACAGAAGAGCAGCTAATTGAATCCAGCTGTTTGTAATTTAGTTTGTGCTTGCACAAGTGTTTTCATATGGGACCCTGGTGGCAAGGGAGGTCTTGGTGCAGCAGCAAAGAGGGGGCTGTGGCCCAAGGTCCCCAGCCACCATGGAGAAGACGGACAGGAGCTGGAGCCGGGCGATGGCGCCCTTCAGTTGGATGTATTTCATTTTGGTTTTTTTATTTATGTTGGAGCAAAAAGGAATAGGCTAAAACAAGAGGTGAGGTCAAGTGATCTATGTGCTTTCCTGAAGCAACCTTGTCAAATGCTTTGTTTTCCAAAATTAGTAACTAACTAAGCTCTCAAATATTTTACTTTACTATGAGTGCGTATTGCTGCTTTGCAAGAAAGTAGACTCAAGTCCCAAGGAAATGAGTGGGCGGTTTGCATTTTCATTATTGTATATAGGTAACAATATCAGAGCTGTTACACTGATATGGGATTATTACCTTGTTTTTACTATGAATTGTAAAACTGGAAAAAATGCTATGTACATATGGTGTATTAAATACATTTTTCTCCCTACAATTATAGAGCTGGGTAAAATTGCTCGTTTATATTTCCTTTTAAATTTACTGAGATGTGAATAGCAAAATTGAGGTTCAAGGTAACGGAGCTTGTTGCGTTGCAGCCCAACTGTACTAATATTTTGGTACCTTTATATGCAGGTAAATGGCCACATGTGGTTTCTATTAGTCACTGAAAATCAGTCTCCGAGGAAAATGAAAGCAGTCCTGGAAAAACTCAAGCTGCTGCCCAAGTGGAAGCATTGTTTTTTTTTCTTCTTTCTTTGAACTTGAAACTTAAAATTCAGTTTTGGATGCTGATTCGCGAACTGCATAGATGTGACTGCGTAAAATAGGGCCGTATGCTCCTTTGCAGAGTATTGCCTTTTGGCCTGCCCCCCAAGAATGGCAGTGCATTTTTTTCCAAGCAAAATCAGAACCAAAATCCACAAGTTTTCCCGAACTCCAATAGTTGGGAAGGATGAGGAGAGAGAAATAGGAATGATAGGTAACAGAAACTCCTGAAAGTTGTGTACATAATACATTAGTAACAGAGGCAATTAATTTGCCAGTATGTTTTTATGTTTATTGTCTGTAACTGCCCAAATGACTAGTGTTTTAAAGATCTGATTTTGAAAAAAATCCAAGTAGGGGCTCAGAAATTGTAGTCGTGAATATATCCATGGTCCTGCTCTGTGCCGTGTGCTAACAGTCTTGTGCCAGTATTTATGTCCTTCTGACTCTCTAGGACCTTATACCAATGTCCTTATATTTAAGACCGCTGATACAGAAGCAGTGAATCTGTGCCAATGAGAGCTTGTGTTGTTCGTACAAAATGTTTTCTCGGGGAAAAAACCTGCATCTTCTGTACTCATTTATCATATTTGGGGTATATTTGTACCTGAATGGTACTGTGGAAGACTGCAGGAGTAGAGCCAGTCGACCCTTCCAGGTAACCAAGTTGTTTCTAAATTACTTGGCAAATGTAAGCAATAGCTTATTGCATTTATCTCTGACTTGACCTTTCAATTCAAATATTAACAAAACCAAGGTTAAAATGTGTGACATTTTCGAGGTATCCTTCAATAAGCAGACAATGCTCAGAAGATACAATTTTATTCTCAAGGAAAGCACAAAGGGGTAATTTGAAGATTTTAAAATCCCATTTTTGTGTTAGCACGTAGAGCTAGCAGATTCAGTCTGCAGAATATCACCTTGAGACGTGTAGGTCGACTTGAAATGTTGTTCCCACGAGTTGCATTCAAGACGTTCTCCAAGAAGCTTTTTAATCCAGACGTAGCAGAGGATTAAATACAGCTTGGTCTACAGCGAACCTGGGCAATGCTTGGAGGAGAGCTGAACTCTTCTGCAACCCCGAGGCAGGTTTTGGCTGGGAGTAATGTGAGTGTGTTTCCCCCTGCAGCCACCCGTGTCCATCCAGTCCATCGTGGTGCAGGTGCAGTGCGTGAACAAGAAGGTGGGCACCATCATCAACCACGAGGTGCGGATCGTGGTGAGGGACAGGAACGACAACTCGCCCCGCTTCCAGCGGCAGCAGTACCGCGTGGCAGTGAACGAGGTGACAACTTTTCGCCCTCTCTGTTTGTGTAGCAAGCTTGCTGCCAAATGCCACCTTTCCTTCACTTTTCATTTAAAATCGCAGGGAATTTGGAGATTTTAAGCTCCCTTCCATTGATGCTGCTTTGGAGATACACAGTGCAGTCAACACACTTCATGTTTTTAGCATGCAAATCATTCTTTTTTCTTAATGAAGGCAAAGACAAAACACTTTCATGGGGGTGCTTGCCATATCGCAGAAGAAACTGGACCCTGAGGCTGTGTGCTGAGGAGTAGAACATCCATTTGTGTTAAGTTTATAAGCTGTTATACTACGTTGGGCAGTGGTTGCAACAAAACTGGACATAACACAAATGTATTTATGAAAAGCAAATGCAGAAACGATAGCTGAAAAGTTTTTGTTAACAATGTTGAAATTTGGCCAAGCGTGGTTTTAGTGCACTGGTGAATTGCTCTTTCTTTAAATGTCGTTGGGTTGAAGGCTTTTGATTTCCCTTTTAATGGTTGGAGAGGCCAGTGCAGCTCAGCAGGACCAAGTCCTGAGGCTGGGGAGGCTGCGAGTTGGACTTTGTATTAGTTGACTGGGCAGAAAGCACGAGCCTGCTGCCGCCTCGGGATCCAAAAGACAGTGAGGAAAAAGCACCATTTAGAATAATTTACGGGGTGATTTTTAGCCAAATGCTTTGAGCATTTGCAGTGCTGCTGGGCAGAGATGCAGTGGTGTTGTCCTCCCACCAGCTGCAGCCCTGATCTAATTAGCTCCTTGGTTTCGTCTTATCCCTGTTCCGCTGCTGGCTCCCAGCAGGGCACCACTGTGCCCTTCGGCAGCTTAATGTGCTCGTTAATTAACCAAGGGGAGGGGGGAAGGAAGTTCACAAAGGATCTCAGACTTCCTTTGGAAAGTTTTCCTGAGTGATTACTTTTTAATGATAGCTTATTCTGCTCCTAATTGGTGATGCCACCAGTGCATTTAATGGGAGGGGTGCACTGGAATGAGCTCATATTTTTTGCTTGCCTCAGGTCTTCTGGTTTCAGGTTCGCTGTAAGCTAGAAAGTGCCCAGACTTGTCGTACATTTGTAATATAAAAGAAATACTTGGGTGTTTACAGCTATGGCGCATCTGAGCATCACAAATTCCTCCTATTTTTCTAGCCAGGAGCTTTGTCCCACGCGCGTGTGTGGGGACCGGGTGTCTGCGGAGCCGTTTCGCCGGGCTCTGCTGACCAGGGTCCCCTGGCAGCGTCCCCGGCCGCCTGACGCCCGTGCTGCTGCCCTCGTAACCCCACGGGCAGCCCCCGTGCAGGCAGCGTCGCCGCGGGGGGACCTGCCTTTAGCAGGCACCTCTTTGGGGTCAGGTACCATGCGGGGGCTGTAGTTCAGTCACGTGCTTTGCTGTCAGATCTTGTCAGAATTGAATTGAGCATGACATTGCAATTAATTTGTAGGCAAGCAGAGGGTAATGGTAATGGCGATGGAAATCTCAGTTTCACTAATCTCTTCTTGGCTTTTGCATTAAATATAGGTTGAGAATGAAGCGTGTGTTTTGCTAGAAATCCTACATGATGATGGGCTTGGTGTGGCCAGCTTGGGTCACAGTGGCCCCTTGTAGGTCATAAAGACTAAGGCACATGAAGCTTTGGATGCTTCATGTCAACTACCCCAAATCCTTGGAAAAGAAAAATCTTAAGTAACAGATGGAAGAGAGATTTGGATCTGTTTGTGTGTTACCAAATCATCCTTAAAGAGCTTTCTTCTCTTTAGATGCTTGCATGTATGCAGGACCCTTGCGAAAGATGACCCAGAGTTTATATACATAGAGAAGTTAATGTTCCCTTCCAGGGCACGGCTGGTTCAAAAATGGCTCTTGCATCTTGTTGAAAAGTGGCCATTACATGCTTATTGAGGACATGGTGTTTGCAGGAGGCTCCTAAGGGTTCCACTAAAAGTTAAAGCTTTTCATACGCAGTTGCAGCACAATTGCTCTTCCAATGTCCTCGTTCGGGTTTGATGGACCTTGCTGGGCTTGGATGAGCCTGCTGTGGCAGTGCTATTTGTGATTAAATTACAATTAAAAACATCTTTCCTGTTCAGCTGCTTAGTTTAAAGCAGATCTTCTTTCCTCCCATGACTTAATTACACCTGCTTTTTGAGCCAAGTAGGTAACCATTTACAAATGCATTGGTTAGCATGAGTTAAAGGTAAAATTAATTGGCATTTTGTGTGTAAGCTGTAGTTGAGAAAATGAGGGTGTAATTAAGCTACTGGCCATTTATAATTGCCTGGGTTCTAAGACAGCTTTGGGAAATGAGTCTTCAGTGGTGCTATTTGGACATCTCAAAGAACGGAGCTAATCATCACTTTCAGGCTGCAACTACTGTAGGAAAAACAGCGCGAAGGCTTTGAGACAGCCAAGACTGGCTGGTTTATTTATATTTTACACAGCTCGGTGCCACTACTGTGTAAAGGCGTTTCTGGCTCCCTCCCAGAAGTAAAACAGTAGTATTGAAGGTTGATGCTAAATATTTTCCGTTGTTTAGGAATCCTGGGTAGGACTGTTAGCTTTGTGCCTTGTTTTCCATGCTCTTATTTTACATGAAAATAGCCCAAAAGGGCGTTTGCTTGGGAATAGGCTTGAGCACCGATACCGCTAACTCGGAGATCTGAGATCCCGCAGGAGGTCGAAGCCGAGTCCTCCAGGACGGGATCGCGTGTTGGGAAGCTGCAATGCAGGAGATGGGCAACTGCTCTGTAGTGTTCACAGAAGGGAAACACATTTTAGAAACGTTTAACCTCATAAAGAATGAGAAATAGAAACTTTGCACTGATACATAGCAGGTAGTGGCTGTAAGACTTGCTGCTTGGATGTTTTAATTAAACCTAATTTCTATTAACCAACCTCATTTCTTATAAGTGCAACTCTTAAGCTTGCATTTGGTAAGCCTTATTTTTTCATATTAATTTCTCTCATGGGCCTTGCCTGAATATTACAAATATTTTCACTAAGTTTATTATCATTTTATCACATCTTTAATTTGGAAATATTCAAAGGGTTTCTAGAATACCATTTGAAGTCAGTGTTACATGATTAAATAGGTACAGCTTTATAGCTGTAATTTCTTCCCTGAAACACAACTGTAGGGTTGATTTCTCTTAATGGTCTTTTTTTGTTTTGTTTCAGTTTTTTGCCTTTTTTTTTTTTTTCAAAACTTAGTTGTCTTCAAACTTGGGCTTTGTGCTGCTGAGAATTGCAACCTGTGCTGAATTTTTCTAGCTTCTGGTACCGTTATTCATATCTATTTCCTTATGGTGTAGAAATAATTAATCTCTGCCTCTGCAGGTAGGCATCATCAAAAATATATTAGCTCGGAGTGATTAACTGTAAAATCTTACTTTGCTCTGCTGTTTAGGTGCAAAATTATTTATTTTCAACTTTGTAAATAGGCAATAATAGGAAAATTTCTTCTCCAAAATGTTTTATGGGAGTGTTGAGCAGGCCTGCATGTGTATCTGGATTTCCAACAGATGTAAATCACGGTGGAGACAGTTTTTAAGCATTAAAAGCTGTTAACTGTGGAAGAGTGAGATTTATTGTGGGTGTTTTCTCTCCAGTTCTTTAATTTTACTGTTTGGAAATCTGCCTCTCTTCATGCTGTTCGCCTGAGCTGTGAATTAACGCATTTTCCAGTGTAATTTCACAAGTATTTGATTGCTCACAAGAAAGCAGTGGGAAAACAACATCCTTCTGGTCTATATTTAAAGTTATGAGACTCTGTGTGTGTCTGTGCTCGCACGTAATAATATTTATGTGGTTTCACATTCTCATGAAGACATTGCTGAAGAAATTCTATTTACTGGCTGCCAGCCGGTAAATTTGCTTTAGAGACTAGTGCTATGGAAACTTCGGTGTTTTTTCGCTTGAGAAATGCTTCTTTCTGCGGCCCTTGCTTACCCGGAGGGATTTAAAGGCTCTTTCACGTTTTCCTGTTCCTACAGTTGACTCCGGTGGGTACAACCATCTTCACGGGCTTTTCTGGCAACAGCGGTGCCACGGACATCGACGACGGGCCCAACGGGCAGATCGAGTACGTCATCCAGTACAACCCCGACGACAAGGCAAGTCAGCGAGAAGTGGTGGGCATGTCCTGGTCTCGGAGCCTTGGTATTTCCTAAGATAGCAAGGAAAAGAGGAGGAAGGCAAGGCCAGCTGTAGGAACCAAAGACCTGAGCTGCTCGTTGGCAGATAAAGAGGACTTTTCTGCCTGGGTCGCTGCTCCTGCTGGGTGGCAATATGGAAAAGATGAGCACGGTTAAAGAGACGTTGGTGTGGGAGCCCATCGCAGTTCATGGGTTCAGTGGTGTTCAATCTCCTCTTAACTTCCACAGGCTTCCAACAGGACCTTTGACATTCCTCTCACTTTGTCCGGAGCTGTAGTTTTACGGGAAAGGCTCAATTACGAAGAAAAGACTCGTTACTTGGTGATTGTTCAAGCAAATGTAAGTATCTCAAAACAGCCATTTACACTGCCGATTGTTTCCAGGTTATTGGGAGTTTCCCAAGGAAAAGAAAAGCCTTTCTTGAGTTGCAGGTCTGATACACACTTCTGAAGTTGCTGCTGTCAAAATCTTATTTAGGATCTCCGTTGGTGCTTTCGTTCTTTGAAAGCTTTGACATATTATTACCAGAAAAGTTTGCCCAGGGTGTGCAACAAGATGATGTTTTCAGCACAAGAAATGAGTTGTATATTTTCAATGTAGGCCACATGGAAAAGTGCATTTTAATGTCGCTAAGCATTCCTCTTTGGATACATCTAGCGACGCTAATTAGGTCTCAGATGAGTTTAAGGGACATTATTTAGTTGTGTCCTTCAGGTTGGAAACTCACTTTTCTGTAACAAGGTGATTTTTCTTTCAAGTCCTACTGTGGGTGCGTTTAAAGGGTTTTACAGAGTGGTGGGTGATGTCTGCCAAGGATAAAAGCAAATGTTTAAACCATAGCTAATACATCTGTCATCAGAGAAGCCTTTGGTGCCCTGGAGAGCAGCGAGAGCTTTTTTCTGCCTTGGTGCTTCTCATAAGAAGTGAGATGAAAATGCTCCTTGGGTTGTTTACGGCTGGTGTGGTGGGACTTCATTTGTGGGCAAATGCGGGTGCTCCGAAAGGAGCTTAAGACAGCTTCCTCCTGAACTCCCACACCTGAGGTGGTGGAACCTGTGCTCCCGAGGTCCTGCCGCCCGCTCTCCTCCACGTTTTGCCGTGTGCTCAGCCCTTCTCCCGCAGGCTCAGAGGCACTTCTGCACCTGCAGATCTCTGCCAGCTCGCTGACCCGCAGAGCTGTGGCAGTTAACACAAGCCCTGTCTTCTTTTCTTTATTTTCCCCTGCAATCACTCGCTTCGCTGCTCCGCGCCGCGTGCTCCGAGGCCTTGCCCGGGAGCTTCCCCGTTGCATTTCATGAAGCCTCACAACTGTGCGGAGTTCTCCCCCCACATTGGATTAATTCACTGCGCAGCGGCACTTCCGCTGCGCTGATCGCGTTAGCAGCGATCACTTCCAGCTCTTGCATCCTGAAGATATTACCTGGAATTAATGATCCTCGACGTGAGCGTTGAGCCGCTATTACCCGACAGGCCCCCGTGGGTGAAGGCAAACAGGAGCAGATGAGCTCCTGGTGGTGCCGCCTGCTTCGCTTCCCGTTAGAGCTCGCCTGGTTTGCTTGCCAGTGACCATGAAGAAAACCAAATTTGGCAATTCCCAGAGTGGGAAAAAAACCCAATTCCTTAATAAAAATAGATTTAAAAAGCTTAGGCGAAGCAACAACTGCTGTCATACTGATTTTTTTTTCCCATTTGGTCTAAATGCTTCTTAAGCTGAGTGCAAAGAGCTGGATTCCTCTCCAGTGCCTCTCAAAAGATTGCCACATGCATTTTTAATCTATGGAAGCGCCGTGATATCTCTCCTGTCGCAACTAAGCGATGCTGTGGTCCCCAGCATCATGGTGCCCTGACCAGGGGTTGGTAGACCTGCATGGAACTGTATTTCCAACCATAAACGAGGGGCTCTTTCTGTGGTACAGATAGGCTGCATCTATATGAAGTTTGACTCGTATCTTCATTTGATGCGTTTCCTGAAAATGGGTTTCTCGAGTGTATTAGTTGTGAGTGACAGGTGCTTACTTAAAGTAAATTCTTAATAAAAGTGATTCTTTTTTTGAATGTTTGGAGCCTTGGTTGACTTAAAGACTGTAGCTGTGAGGCAGAAGTTTGTGTAATGAGTTATTTCCCCTCATTTTCACACGTGTTGGCTCTATGTTTTGCACTTAACATTAACCTCACGCTGTTTTGTAGCCCCTAAGTTCAAACAACTGCATCAAGCGACCTGTTCTTCCCACAGGACCGAGCCCAGAACCTTAATGAGCGAAGAACAAGTACGACCACGCTCACGGTGGACGTGCTCGACGGGGATGACCTGGGGCCCATGTTTCTCCCTTGTGTCTTGGTGAACAACACTCGGGACTGCAGGCCGCTCACCTACCAAGCGAGCTTGCCGGAACTGACCGATCCTGTAAGTCGTCCTGATCTTTCCTTCACGTGTATGTCACTACCACTAGCCTGGTCACAGGGGCTTTCTGCAAGGTTTTAGGTGCTAAATAGAATGAACCATGGGGAAATATATAGGTGGTGAAATGCTGGCTCTAATGCAATGGCAAACATCAAGGAATGTTTTAGTTTGGAGAAGAGGAGGCTCAGGGGAGACCTTATCACTCTCTACAACTACCTGAAAGGAGATTGTAGTGAGACGGAGGTTGATCTCTGCTCCGGAATAACCACAGATAGGACAAAAGGAAATGGCCTCAAGTTGTGCTGGGGAGGTTCAGGTTAGACATTAGGAAGAATTCCTACATGGCAAGAGCGGTGAGG